TAGTTTAGGAACTGTTGCATTATATCACTTAATTCCACCCTGTTTTTTTTTATAATCAGGGATCAAATTCAGAAAATTCATGTATTGTTTCAGTGACTGATTTTTATTGTTGCAAATGCCTAAATCCAGACTATTTCACAAAATTACCATTCAGAGTTATATATACATAGGGTAATTACAAAATAATCTTAAATACTGTTGTGACACGTCTCTCCTGTTTATCTCCACGTTTTTTTTTATATCCCTGGACTTGACTTGCAAATATTGGCCTAATATTAAAAGCATTCCGTTCTGAGTAACATTAGCTATGTAGTATAAATTCTGTAATGATAGCTTCTGCAAGTGTTCTTTCCACCTAGAAAATGTATTGGTGAATAATTATTTCACTTCTAAAGAAGCTGTAATTTTATTGGTGAATAATTATTTCACTTCTAAAGAAGCTGTAATTTTATTGGTGAAATTGTCTTGTGGCACATCATGTAGAAGCAGTGGCTATGTTCCACTATATGTGGTGTTTGTTAGTTTGTAAGAAACAAATGAATTATGTTACCATTTCTTGAACTTGTTTTTTACATGTAGATTTCAAGTGATTTGTACTAGATCATGAATATAAATGTTTGCATGTGTATAATACTTAGCATGTATATTTGTGAGTATTACATTCGTGTAAAAATTTTATGTCTCAGGATAGTACTTACACAAATAACATGATGACATACAGGTTGAAACAAATGTTCTGTTATAACTTATAATCAGGACTATATATGTCACAAACATTCTGTGGAATGTCATTTAACAACCAGACACTGTTTCACATGTATAGAAGTCTCATGACATAAGCCAGACAACTGTTGTAGGTGATGTCATTTAACAACCAGACACTGTTTCATATGTATGGAAGGCTCATGATGTAAGCCAGACAACTGTTACAGGTGATCTCATTTAACAACCAGACACTGTTTCACATGTATGGAAGTCTCATGATGTAAGCCAGACAACTGTTACAGGTGATCTCATTTAACAACCAGACACTGTTTCACATGTATAGAAGTCTCATGATGTAAGCCAGACAACTGTTGTAGGTGATGTCATTTAACAACCAGACACTGTTTCACATGTATAGAAGTCTCATGACATAAGCCAGACAACTGTTGTAGGTGATGTCATTTAACAACCAGACACTGTTTCACAAGTATAGAAGTCTCATGATGTAAGCCAGACAACTGTTGT